CTCTTTCCAAGCAGACCTTCCTTAGCAAACTCCTCTGTAGCTGGCCTGTTAGCTGTTCCTTGATCCTGAAGAGTTCATTTCCCCTGCAAACCTCATTCCTCTCAGCAAGCTTACAGTGAAGGAATGAGAGAGTTTTCAAGCAAGCTCCCTAGCCAACTCCCCCTCACTCTGGACTCTGGTTAAACAAGGTGCTTAAGTATTGGTCTAGCTGCTGAGTTTTAGCTGCTTAAAATAAAACTATATAGGTTAGTCAGTCTCAAATTATGTATAAAAAAGAGAGATTAATAATGGTAGAACTTTTTGTTTTCTTATGTTTCTTTAAACCAAAACTGTGACTGTATTTATAAGGTAAGGAATTAAGGCCTCATACAGAGGCCTTAATTCAGTTTCTCCTGGGAGAGTCACTGCTCTTCCAGGAGAAAACACAAGTGTATAGAAGTTCAGGCTTTTTCTCTCAGGCTAAAAATGGCCACTTCAGGAGAAAAATAACCTGAGAACAACCAGAGTTAAATCATTCCCTGGGAGAGCAAATGTCTATACATGCCATGACTTCTCTCAGAGGAGAATGTAGTCCTCCAGCTTCTCCCCGTTTCCCCTGCCCCCAGGGAGACTCTCTGGACCCTGCTACTCCAGCAGAGAGCAGAGCACTCCCCCTTCACAATCTCCACATTGTACTACAGGGAAACAAGCTGACTGTAGGCAGATTGGGTCAGCCAATTTGGGCTGCCCTATGCACAGCTGCAATCTTTCACTTCACAGACTAAGGAAGCCTGCAGAGCATTCCTGAGATGTGTGCACAGGGTTGGCTGCACAGTGTCAGCACTGCAGGCTCTCTGCTCTTCAGGGCCTCAGTATTTGAATATCTATACACAGAGGTCCAGGTATGTTTCTGTACCAGGAAGACAAACCTGGGAGAATTCTCTCAGATTATTTGAATGCATGTACACAGTCTAAGAGGGAACTGACTCAATAGGATTTAATAATGTACTGCAGATCTTTGTGACTGATGTCAACATCTGGATCTGTATGGATCCTAAAAATATAGGACTCACGCTGAAGTCAATACTGAATTGTACGTGGTCCTTAAACAATGTAGATGTGGTGAATCTTTAGTTTATATTTGACTCATCTAAATTCAGACTTTTAAAAAGTAGTTTAGATTTTTGTACATTAATTTCTTTAACAACATTATCTTAATAATGGCACCACTCATCATTGCTATAACATTGGAATGTCCTATATTGTGGCATATTTCCCATAATGACTGAACTGTCAGTTTTCAAACTAGGCATTTGATTTTGGCAAAAGGCTTCCATTTCCTACCATAACTATAAGAGAAAATGCAGCCTGGTATAGGAGTCTTTGCTGTTTCAGAGAAAATCCTTATGAAAGGAGCATTCATATTTCATCAAAGCCATCTGTTTCATAGAATTGGGTTTTCTGGGTCCTGTGTCTTGCAACTGCCATCATGATACACATTCAGGTCAAACATAGTATGCTAGGTAACCTAAGGCAATATTAACAGAGAAAGCTCTGTTTTCAAAAGAACATTTGAAAAAGTAGCAAATATATACAAGGTCAACTGGAAGAAATATTGAAGAATGAACATGACTCACAGCTAGACGTATATGGATAAATTAAATTGAGTCTTATTCACTGGTGGAGTAAATCTTTACAGGCTCTCTTCATGTACAGTTACTCTTTTTGTCTGGGAGAACAAGCCATTACATATTACAAACTTCAAAATGTTTCTGCTTTATGGATCATATTTGACTGAGAACAATAAAACAGTCATTCTTTATCTTCAGCATTTACTGAATTGCTAACAAACATAGTAGAAGGAATTGCTCAACTCTTTGAGGGTTTTATAAAAATGTTTCACTTGCTGCTATTTTTGATAAATTTCTAAAATACTTGTAGAAAATGCAAATTGGAAAAAAAAATAAATCTATGTTCTCCATAATAATATTGCACATATTAAAACGGCATTTATCTGTTATAACAATTACATTTTGTCTTAAAATAGTTGCCAGTTCATTGTAACTATTACATGTAGGCATTGTGCCTCTCTGGGTGTGTCTACACATGCATTTACACCAGCTTAAATTTACTTTGCAGTAAATTACTGTGCAGTAAGTGGGAATAGGCCAGTGTCTACACATGCAGGCAGTAAAGCACATTAACACTGTGCATGGAATGACTTGGGACTAAAGTTAATACCAAATCAGTCCACACACTGTTACTGCACAGTAAGGCATCTACACATGCATTACTGTGCAGTGACTAATTGGGCATAAATTTGATACCTGCATGATGTAGGTATCAAATTTACACTCAAGTTGGCATAAGTCACCATATTTACTGCACAGTATGGGCATGCACGTGTAGACGCACGCCCGTACTGTGCATAATTTCGGTTACTGTGCTGTAAATGCGCACATGTAGACATGTCCTCTGAGTCAGTTTCTTCATGTGTTTCTTTGCTGGGAAGAATTGACTTTGTCAGTGCCCTGCTCAAGACACTAAAAGATGCTATTTGGCCATTTGCTTCTTTGTAACAAAGTAACAGGATTATGATTCAGAAGTATAATCAAATATTGAGAAACAGGTTCTCCATTGCCTTATTAGCAAACTGAACATCATGTTCTTTCCTATAGATGTCTCTCTCACACAAGATTTTCAGGAAAGTACCCTGCATCCTTCCCTTAGCCAAGAACCCCTGAAAGGTCAAGAAAGCACTTTAAGACCCATTCACCCTCCACTGATCATAAACATCAGCCTTGAGGAGGAAGAGGAGGAGGAACAAGAAGAAAACTGTAAATATAATTTTTATTTTATCTGAAACTAAGACTGAAGCCTGGCCAGCCAGTGCCAGGCTGCCAGCCAGGCTCCGTGTACCTGGATTGCCACTGCTGCAGTCTCAGGAGGTCCCTAGGTCAGACTGCTGGGACCAGCCCAGGTGCTAGCCCCAACTTCTCCTACCCCACCCAGGTCAATTTGGCACATACTGGAGCGCACATGCAGGGGCATTCCCCAGGGACAGCTAGCAGTAGCACAACTCTATGCTGCTGCTAGTTGTCCCCAGAGAAAAGCATGGGAGCACTCATCTAGATGCACCCTTAGAGACTAAATGGTTCAGAAAGACATGAGCTTTCATAAGTGACAGCTTGTTTGATCAGGTATTATGATGCTAAACGATATGTTGGGAGATTACCCATTTAGCAGGGACATATCTGTAGCAGGTCAGAACATTCCCATGTTTTCTCTCCAATGGAAGCTGTACAAACTGCCTGGGCTACACCAGCCATAGAAGTTACTCTGTTAGTGTGTTCTTTCCCTTTTGAAGTGGCTGTTTGAATGACAATGCAGACTGCATGTAGCTGCCCAGTCTTGGGGCAGAGTCATAGACTTAGGCTGGATCCAGTTATGCAGGCATGTGTGGTTTGTGGTGCCACAAATCTTTTTGTCATGCCTCAAACTGTGCATGTTGCATGTTAAACCATGCTCCACACTGCTAATTTGCAGCACTGGGGCAAAATTTGCTACCAAGATTCCCCAATGCCCTGTGCCCCAGCCAGCCCCTCCTGCAGCACATGAAGCAGTGGGGCAATGTGTCCCACTGCAAACTGTGTTAGCAGGGGTGTGCACCGCAACACAAAGTAGTGGAACCAATTTGTGCCGCTACTGTTTGTGCTGCTGCAAACACCCCCCCTCCCCCGCCCCCCCGCTCGTGTGGACGCAGCTTAGAGTGCATCTACAAATGATAATTTAATTTTAAATGTTTTTAAACAATTTCATTTATGTCAATTGAGATCCCTACATAGACCATCTTATTTCAGGTCAGCTATCAAAAAAGTCATTCTTAAATTGTATGTGTAGGGTTTTTAACTGGTTTAATTAAATCAGCTTAAAATGAGCTCATGTAAAATATGGCTTAGCTAGGATTGATCCTGCCTTGAGCAGGGTTTTGGATTGATCAGCTCCTGAGGTCCCTTCTAACCCTTGTTTATGATTCTATGAATTAAGCCTGAGAATTTTTCCTCTGTAGCCAAGGCCACTAGCCAGGACTCTTGCAAACAAATGATCATAGATTTATTGAGTATACTTAGGGCATTGCCAAACAACTCAATAGCCATTTATTCAAAATCTTGTCAACACAAGATCCTTTCCCTTATATGTGACTACATTTCCTTTGAAGACTGAGGACTTCAAGAAAGCCTTGTAAGTGATTTTAATTAAACCATCATTAAAAGTGAAAATCTGGCATTATCATCATAATAGTCATCAATCAGCCTTTTGACATGCATCATTATTACGACTGTATTGCTGAAAGTATCTAGCATTAAGCAGTATCTTTTCTGTCTGAAATCCAAAAATCAGAGGGTTGGGATGAACCTATAACAGAAAGGAATAAAGTGACCACTTCTCTGTAATGAAATTGTTTATAACGTTGAAATAATGCTGAGGAAGACCTTAACTATTAAAAATGTTTTCTACAGGTATCTCTAATTTATTGACAAAGACTCCTGCAGACATTGAGGAAGAAAGAGCAATAAGGGAAATATGTTATAAATCTGGTAAGTATCTTATTATTAAGTCTTCTAAAATTATTTATTTAATCAGCATAGTAAAGATTTTTTTTCTTTCTTCTGGGGTATACATGATTAGGAGAGTATTACAGAATTCAGACTCCTCAGGAAAACTACTCAGTAAAAATTATGTCTTCAGCACTGCAGATTGAGCTCTTGAAGCCTATGGAAACTGGCAGAGATTTACAGGAAGGCAAGTACTTGACTTGTGATGATTTTAACATCAAGGATAAAGATTTTACTTTTCTTGCTACTAGGTTGTCTGACATTTAGTTTTTGAACATTTCCAAAAGCATTATTATCCATAATGAAACTAATAGAAATACTCTCATTACCATTTGAGAATGTAATGGCATTTGACTGCACATAAATTGTTGGTGTAGAATGGACCTTCTCCACTGACTGTAGTAGTGGTGCTCAACCCCCAGCCTGGAGGTCATATCCAACACATCTGGGGCCATGTAATCTGGCCAGCAGGGCTCCCTCTAGGTCTAAAAATTTTGTGGCAGAGTAGCAATGGCAGCATTAATTGCCTCTCTCTTGCTGCTGGATTTCTGGACCCATGGTGAGTCTACACTGGATAGCATGGTCCTGCATGCTGGATGGGACATGCAGGTTCAGGGCCAATGTGGCTGTCCCGAGTGGCATGGGGTCTGTCCTAGTATGTGAGGCTGGGCCAAGGTTGTGCAGTACCCGATCAAGGAACGCAGGGCCAGTTGAAAGCAGCCTGAGACCCAGTCCTGGTGCATGGCACTGGCCGAAGCAGAGCGGGCCCAGTTCTGGTGTATGGAGTCAGATCCAACTGGCAGAGTTGCCCCACACCACTCATCTGGTTCACTGGGCCAAAAGACTGAGCACCACTGGACTACAGTATTGTGGATTAAAGTCACACCAGCTAAGTAGAACTGAGACTAATATACCTACATACACTGTGTTGAGATTCATGGCCTGGTTTGTCCCCAAGGCTAAGTACAGACATTCAAAAAGCCTGAGGTAGAATTAATCTAAGTTATGAGGTTTTCTGTCAGCAGCATAGTTTAGATCGATAGCGAACATAACACACATTTGCCTTGTGGTGGTGGGACAAATCTTAGACTGGGTTCTGCCATTTTTAAACCAGTTTGTGTTTTTAATCTATCTCAGAGAGGATTAAATTAATAACCATCAGTCATATGAAGTTACTACCTACTTGCAGTGCAAAGCAGCTGCTCTTTCTTATAGTCCTTTTGTGATAACGTTTCACAAGAGTTAAAGTCCTTGATAAGTTTATGTTCTTCATATGATGTAAGATATAAAATGAAAAGATATACTTTAGGTACTTTAATTACAGTAAAAATCAGTCAAATGACTAATAACAATGAAAAAAGGAACACATAGGAGAGGATTAGAGGACATTTACACAGAGATAAATGTGAGGAAGAGAATGACATCATGTTCAAATAATATAACAGTACCACTGGGCTATATACCTTAGCTAGCAAAATAGATGTAATACAGAGAACAGCAATGTTTCTGTGGAACATGAACCCCAGATTTTGGAGAAGACTGGAGCATTCTCTAGACCTAAATTTGGACCATATCTACTTAAACTGGCAGATTTACTATAAGTAGTAGTTCTTTAATTAGTATCATAAAGAAGTAGAGCTGGAAGGGACCTCCATAGATCATCTAGTCCAATCCCCTCCCTGTTGCAGGATCATTCCTATCCAAACCATCCTATGCAAATCCATAATGTAATTGAGTAAAACTACTGTCAACCCTGACACAAGACGTAACACCCTAACCTACCACAGGTAAAGCAGGAGGATGTCCTTCTTTTGTAAAAGGTTGTTAATTTATGGTCAAGAGATCCCAGGTAGAGGGTCACATCCACTGCTACAGATGAAGGCAAAAACCCCCACAATCTTTCCTGACCCCAAATATGGCGATTGGTTTGGCCCTGAGCAGAGGACCAAGACCCTCCAGCCAGGAACCTCTGGCTTCTAGTCCCAGCAGGAGCATTGGCATACCCCTGTCAAAGTCCCAGCCTTGGCTGCAGCCAACACTCAATGCCTGTGAGGAAGGCTTAAAAAACCCCCTGATGCATGTAGTAGAGATGGGGGGAAAGGGGGAAGAATTCCCCAAACCCCATGCAACAACTAGCAAAGCCCAGAAACATAGAGAGTACCCACAATAGAAACTAGGCATAGCTAAGCCTATATCATCCCCAACTAATGGCTCTTCATAAACACCTTTAGTGATGGAGAATCCACAACTTCTCTAGGCATTAGTTCCACTGACTCACTGTTCTGACAGTGAAGAAGTTTTTTCTTGATATCCAATCTAAACCTACTTTACTGAAACTTCAAGCCATTGGTCCATGTCCACCTACTCTCTGCTGCAAGAGGAAAAAGGTGTTCTCTCTCTCCTTTATAGCAGCCCTCCACGTATTTGAAGACTGTTATCCAAGCTCTTTATCATCTTTACTGACCACCTCTGGATCCTCTCCTCATCCTTTTTAAAATGTGGATTCCAAAACTACACACGATACTCCAGATAAGGCCTAACCAGTGCTGAGTAGAGAGACCCTGAGTGTGTCTACATGAGAAGCTTTAGTGCAAAGTACATTGATCTGCTGCATGGGAAAGTGTCACTGTCTACATGCGCTCACATTTACTATACAGTAAATTAGTCTCTGCACAGTTAGCTACTACCTGTAAATACAGTTAGTTACTGTGCATATGTAGACACTGACTGGGAACAAATTTGTGTCCGGTCAGCCCCAACACCAAGGGGGAATCCTTGTGCAGTCTGGAGCTGAGTGGGAGCTGCCCCAGAAGGGACAGTTCTCAGCCATCTCTGGGCTGCTCAGAGAAATCCTGGTGCAGCCCAGAGCTGGCTCGGAGCTGCCCCAGAAGTGGGACAGCTCTGGGCCAGCTGCCGGTTGTACACGGAAGCCCTGCTAGGTATGGGACTTGTCCCCATGTGCAGGTGGCCAGGAGAGCTCTGCAGATGCAGCTGTCTCCTGGCCCCCTGTACATCAGGACCCCTCCTGATGTGCAAAGGGCCAGGAGACAGCTGCTGCTGAAGATGGCAGAGCTCTCCTGGCCCTGTGCATATGAGGACCAGCACCAGACTCTCTGCTGTCCCCTGGGCTAACACCCAGCATGAGGCTGGATCTCCTCTTGGCTGCTGCAGGGAACCAGAGCAGAGTTGGAGCAGCCCTGTCCTGGGCTGTTCTGTTGAGAGCAGATTTGCTCCAAACAGGGAGCACATGTAGATTGGCTCCTCAGGAATGCTTACTGTGCAGTATTAATTGCACATGTAGACATGCCCCCTATCACCTGCGTAATTAAATTCCTTTCAGTGAAATGTTAATCATTGGCAATACAAATAAATATGTTTGATATGTGTGCAGTAAACATTGTTTGCTCTTAGTATGATCTAGTCTAGTATTCTTTCACCGATAAGGGACAGAACATGGCTAACATGTTCCATAATATGTTTCCTTCTGATCTTAAGGCAAGTTTATGGGCACGTCTACATGTCACCCTGTGTCACCATAACGATGTGCTAAGTTGCTGTATGTCATAGTGATCACATGAGTCTACACATGACCAGCAACTACTTCGCTGTAGTGGTGCACTCCCTTCTTTTAGTGCGCCACTATGGTGAAATAGTGGCTAAAACTACATGTGCACCATGCGCATGGAGTAGTATGGGCAGTCACTGTGCTGTTTTACTACTTCCAAAAGGAAGTACTAAAGCCCAGTGCAATAACAATGTCACTGTAGGGAGACGTGTAGATGCACCCTGTGTGTAATACCCGCTTGACAATTCACAAGTTTTAATACAGTAAATTGTATTTTCTGAATTAGCAAAATTTAAATGTATTGCCTCAGCTTTGTACTCTGTGGTTTAGTTCTGTTATGTCTTTTTGGTATCCATATATGTTTTACTGATAATTCCCCATTAGTCTGTATAAGAAAATGCTAATTTATGTGTCACTTTCCAAAAAATCAGTGTAAGTCTGAATTGTACAGTGTTATTCATAACTTCATTTACTATCCCATATCTATTTACGTCTCACAAATGAAATGATTCAGCATAAGTTGGCTAATACTTTTCCTCTATTGCTTTCCCAGGTGATGGTGTTTCAGTTCCAGCAAAGTTTCATAATATAAAAAGACAAGGAGAAATAATAGTATCATTAAATGGAAACTCCAGGACGGACCTTGGCTCCTTTGAAAATGGAGGTAATTACTTTAAAGTATGTGTTGTCATTATTGAATATCCTATGGTAGATAAAATTAATCAAAGGTATTATGAATATCAATAGCACTTAAGCCTTGCAAGTATTCTCCAGTGAAATTTATTTCCACTGTATTTATTTTCTGTAAGGTATATTTTTTCAGTGCTTTTTATAAAAAAAATTAGTATTTCATATTTGGATTCTACCTATTTTAGCTACAGGGTGAACAAAATATTTTTAATTTAGTGATGAAACGGAGTTGGTTATTTATTTAATCCAGAAAAAAAAGATTATTTATGTGTTTTACCCTGGCTATAAAGAAACATTATATAGTTCATTCAGAAAGGCTTGACAAAGAGATAACAGACTGGTGCAGGATGCTTTCAGAAATAGTTATATTTGAGAGAATATCATTAGTTAAGGTGAACACACTTCTTATTTTTGGCAGTCACGTAGGTCCAAATCTTAAAAGCTGTTTTATCTGTACTGATTTCTTCAGTGATATCTTCTGCAGTCATAGGGGTCTGCATCCATGGAGCCCAAGGTAAGTAATTAAGGATGAAGTATTCTCATGCCCTGTAGACTTGAAAATGGAAATACTGGTAAATGCTTTGAAATGTATTTTGTTATTATTAATAATCATATGGTAAATAAGATAATGTATTATGAATACCAATAGCATTAAACCCACTAAGCAATTTATATTTACCTAGAATTGGCAATCTCCTTTTCTTTTTGAATGCTTGGTAGTAGCAAAAATAAGAATTACATAGAATTTTATAAATATGCTTATCTCTTTCTTTGATCCCTGTACATATAACGTGTGATAAATGTATCTGTGTTTATGTTTTGTAAGCTATTATTTAGAAGTATTTGTGTAGAAGGAGAATGAATTATGAAAACCCAGTCAGACTGAGAAATGAGTTAAAAGTATCTTAAATTTCCACTTATATGAGCTTTATATATTACATATGAGTTTTCTGTTTGCTTTTAATTTTTAGAATTTTAATATATTATATAGTTATTTAACTAAAACTAGTAAAAAGTGTATGACAAAAAGTATGAAGTCAATAGTTTGCATTCTTCACACTGAAACCTATATTAAACTATTTTATCTTAATAAGGACATGACATTTATTTCCTTTATTCCTAATTTTGTGATGCTTCATCATTTTCTGTAGGGGGTGATTGTTATGTGCCACAAAGGAACAGAGTTGGTGGAGGGAAGAAAAATGAAGCATTAAATGGGGGGAAACAGTTAATTATATCAAAACCTTCAGATATAAAAGGTATTGAATAATTATTTATATTTCTTGTAATTTTGGAAAATGTTTTTGCTCACTTTGTAATTAGGCTGGACGTATAAGGCAAGACCTGTATCTTCTGACTACTACAGACATGCAGTAACTTGATGAAATTCAATTAACATCTTGGCTTCTTTCATCCTTATGAATATAGATAGTAATATTTTTATGATGGCCCAGTTCTCTCATTGACTTCAGTGTGAGCAAGATTATTATCATAATCTTCTTCAAAACTAAGGCCCAGATTCTGTTTTACTTATTGGATGGGATCCAATGGTTGTGTTCATAGTCCACCCTTCTTCAGTCCCTGAAAAAAAAAAAGTTAATGCAAAAGTGGCTGGGTCCACCTCCTTACTGCTTTCTATGATTTAGTCTTAAGGCTAAGATAACTGCAGGTTATGAATGTATGCTTACGTACCTAATACTGGTATGTGGAATAAGATCAGGCCCAATTTGTCCAATCCTGAAATGAAATGTTGAGCACTCTCAACTCCAGTGCAAGTTAATCAGAATTAAGGATGTGTGGCATCCCACAGAATGAGGCCCCTAATGGTGGATGCCCTAAATCAGCAAAATTATCAAAGACATTATCAAGTATACTTGAAGTCTACAGGGGCCTCAGTTTGCACTACAGAATACCAAAACATGTTTGAGATGTTGCATGTTTTAATGCAATATTTTTCTCAGCTGAAAAATATTGGCTGGTTTTATTTACATAGTCATTGTTGATTAGTCATTACGTGCTTATCATTTGGATCTTTTGAAGGTAAAAATAAAGGATACATTCTGATTATAAACTACAGATATGTCAAAAAGTAATAAAATGTTCCACATAAACATATGTAGTGGAACTTTAGAATTCTTCCCAGCATGACCTGAATGGACAAGAAGAAAAAGTAGTGCATATGCAGGTCAGCTAGAGGTAAGAGGAGACAGAGTCATTTTTTCTTGTAGGAGAGCAGGTAATATAGTGTTAAAGGTCTTGCCAGCTGCCTTTCAGTGCAAAGTGTGTGCCTTTCAGTGCAAAGATTTCAGTGCAATCATATATTAGGGCTGTGCAAAGCTTCAGGTGCTGATTCGATTCAGAGGAAATTCAGTTTGATTCAGCAGCCAAATCTCCGAATCTGAATTGAATCAGAAGACCAATAAAAAGGGTCCAAATTGTTTCAAAGCTCTCTGAATTGATTCAGAAAAGATTTGGAGAGCTTCAGAGATTTGGGAAGTCCCTGCTTGCCACTGCAGGGAGCTGGACCTGGGGTCCGTGCTGGTAAGAAGGGGGTGGGGGCTGAAGGAGTGGGGAGGGGACCCCCGCCAGGACCCATCCCCTGCCTGCTCCCCCAGCCCCTCTGAGCACCCTGCAACCCCCGCCTGCTCTCCTAGCCCCTCCATGGCTCCCCCACCTGGGCCCAGCTCCTGCTTCTTTAAAAAAAAAAAAAAGGCATTGCACTCACTGGCTGCTGCAGCGGCCATTGGGGCTTCTGGGGGGTTGTGGCAGAGCGTTCCATGCATCTCAGGGCAGTAGGGGCAGTGGGGATTGCCCTCCCACCTGGCAGAAGCCAGTGAGTGGGGGCATTATTTTTTTTTTTTAAAAGAGTTGGGAGCTGGGCCAGGCAGGGCAGCCATTGGGAGTGGGGAGAGCTGGGAGAGCGGGCACGGGGTGGGAGCTCATGACAGAGCCACCCATGCAGAGCAGGGCAGCAGAGGCAGCAGGGATTGCTGCCTTCCCCCCCCCCGCTGGCCTGGCAGCAGCTGGTGAATACGGAGCTTTTTTTAAAGATCTGGGAGCTGGGGCCGGACAGGGCAGCCATTGAGAGTGGGCGGGGGATGGGACCTGTATGATTCAGAGGTTCGGCTGATTCAGCAGCAGCTGAATCAACTTGGGACAGTGAATTGAATCGCCAAATTGAATCACTTTCCGCTCAAATCAGCTGAATCTGAAGTGAATACTAGCCGCTTCACACAGGCTTGTCATATATATATATATTCACACAAATACACACACACACACACACACATACACATACAATTATTAATGACATCTATCAACAACCTGATAGGATATACGATAATGAAGAGGTTGATCCTGAAGACTCCCTCCTCAGCTAAGTGAAGCATTTATGATAAATACTTAACAACTGTTTAACTAGGATGGCCTCAAATGTTATCAGTTAGGTTTCAAGTCTTGGCAATGAATATTGTTCCTTAATGTAATGGGTTTCCGTTGCTTTGTTTATGTGACTATATTCAAGCACCTAGCCAGTGCTTTCTTGTATACATCAGCAAAAACATGGAATCTAGCCTTGGAAGCCTGTCTCTCTACAAGGTTACCCAAAGCTTGTTATAAATTTTATATAATGGAGGTTATATACAAAATGGAGGTATTTATTAGGGCTGTGCGAAGCAGCTAGTATTCATTTCAGATTCGTCCGATTTAGGGGACTGTGATTTGATTTGGTGATTCAGGTGACTGTCCTGAGTCAATTCAGCCACAGCCGAATTGGCCAAATCTCTGAATTGGCCCCATCCCCCGCCTGCTCTCAATGGCTGCCCTGCCTGCTCTCCCAGCTCCTGGCACTTGAAAAAAAAGAAAAAGCCCCCACTCATCGGCTGCTGCCAGGTAGGAGGGTGATTCCCACTGCCCCCTGTTGCCCCATACTGTGTGAGGGGCTCTGTCATGAGCCCCCTGACCCCCGCCTGCACTCCCAGCCCCTCCAATGGCTGCTCTGCCTGGTCCCAGCTTCGGGCCCTTAAAAAAAAACAAGTAAAATAAAAAAGCTCTGGCTCACCAGCTCCTGCCAGGTGGGGGGAGGCATCCCTACTGCCCCATACTGTGTGGGTGGCTCTGCAACAAGCTTCCAGAAGTTCCAAGGCTGTTGCAGCATCCGGTGAGTCAGGGCTTTTTAAAGGGCTAGGAGCTAGGGCCGGGCAGATCAGGCATGGGGGGAGCTGGGACAGTGGGCAGGGGGCAGGGGACTCGTGGCAGAGCCCCCTGTGCAGTGTGGGGCAGTGGGGGGCAGCAGGGATCGCTGGTGAGTGGGGGCTTTTTTAAAGAGCCGGGAGCTGGGGCCAGGCAAGGCAGCCATGGCGGGGCTATGATGGGACAGTGGGCAGGGGTCAGGGAGTGCTCAGCAGGGCTGGCAGAATAAGTAGGGGATGGGGCCTGGTAGGGGTCCCACACATGGTCCCTTCCCCCATCCTCCAGCTACCCCTCCCCCACTCCCTACTTACCAGCATGGAGTCCAGGTCCAGATCCCTGCTACAGCGAGTGGGGACTCCCTGAACCGTTGAAGCTCTCCGAATCTTTTCCAAACCGATTCGGAGAGCTTTGAATTGATTCAGACATTTTAATTGGTCTCCTGATTCGCTTCGGATTCAGAGTTTTGGCTACTGAATTAGGCCGAATCTCCTCCAAATCATTTCAGCACCTGAAGCTTCGCACAGGCCTAGAATTTATGCCAAGGCCCTTAATGTGTTTTTTACACTCAGTAACATAGGGTGCTGACAGATGTGCAGCTCCCTGCTCTAACTCATGGTACTTCACAGAAAGCACCAGGACTTAGATCCGCCCCCACCACCCCCACCCCCCAACCCAAACAGACATGCTCTCGTTGTATCTGCAGGATGGGAGTGGGGAGAAGGAAGGGGGCGGGGAGCTCCAGGCTGGGTTTTGCCCAGCCTGAGTTGGAGGGGGAGAGGCTTGGGGAGGCTGTGAGGTTGTGGGGCTCCAGTCCACCTGTCACCCCTCCAGCTCAGGCTGGGCAAACCCCAGCCTGGAGCTCCCCCACCTCCCTTCTCCCCACTCCCATCTTGCAGACAGCACTGGGGATGGGAAGCCCTGATGATCACACACAGGGACTGCCAGAAATTAATGATGGCACTTTGCTATGGAGCTCCTTCATCTGAACCCTCATTAGATGAGGGTTAATTTGTTGTGTAATCAGGCACTTTCAAAGTGCTCTGCAGCTGTGCACTTCTGTCAGGGCACAGCTGTAGAGCAGTTTCAGGGAGCTAATCATATGACAAATGTCACTTCTGTCAGCTCCCATAGTTGGTTTTCTGTGCTTTGGATCAATTTACATGGATTTCTACCTTGGGTGTAATATACTAACTTTTGAAAAGGACTGTGATTTGCACATGCATGCTGCATAAGAGGCCTAGTTCATAGTTGTAGAGCCTTTTCAATCTTTTTAAATTTGTGGACTCCTAAAAATTTTGAATGGAGGTGCAGATCCCTTTGGAAATTTCAGATGGAGGTGTGAACCCCTTTGAATTGTAAGTGTAGATAATCACATACTTTTGATTGATCATAGTCATATTTTGTGGACCCCTTAGACATAGTTTGCCGACCCCCAGGGGTCCGTGGACCACAGGTTAAAAACTATTGTTGTAGAATATATGCGTGAATTACAGTGGATATTTGTAGGCCATAAAATCTATGACACCTCAATGTACTATTAACTCAGATTTTCTGCCTTTTATTTGGTGAACTATAATTTGGACAAAAAACATCTATTACTTTAATAATACTGTATTTTATAACTTAAATTTGAAGTCCACTTGCAAGATTTCATGAGCTTTTCCTTTAATAAACTTCACATTTTTTTGAAATATCATGATTTGTTCTTAACGAGGCAAAACTTGCTCATATTTCTACTTATCATGACTGTTTTCAGAATTAGCTTTTTACTATGTAAAAGAAAGCTTTTTGTCCAAAAAGAGCTTTATATGAAATGTGGGGAAGTAATTCTAGTAATTCTTTTTTCAAATCACCTTGTGGTGATTCAGTGAATAAAAAGGCTCCTTTCACTGATGAACCACAACTGCTTGACATATAGTTAAGATGCAGTTAAAATATAGGAAATGAGCACAAAGCACAAAGACCACAATGCATGCGATTGCTATACAAGTACACAAAGAGAGTGGAAGAGATTTCTTATACATGCTTCTCTTTGAGGAAAGCAGTAGATAGAATATTAGTGATGGTGGTTCCAATAAAGCAGAAGAATCCAGTCATGAAACACTAACAAAATAAAGGGATGGGAGAGAAGTAGTAAGCAGGGTATAATATTCTGACTTCCCAGGCTGTCATGTCAGCTTCTGATACCGGGAAGTGTAGCAGAGAAGAAAAGGTTTTGACAACCACAAAGGAACCTCTGACTATCAATACTTAAACTGAGAGAAATGGCTTTTGCAGATTGGTAAAACATCCCTGCTAATGATTACATCAGAGAGGAACCAGGAAAATAAAGGGATTTTGTCATATTGTATATTTTCAAAAAATGAATCCATATCACTATATTCATTTAGGAATGAACTACACTGAACCTGTAAAGAAACATCACTTTAAAGGAGTGAAGAAAAAGAAATGGATTTCTGAGGAATCAAAAAACTCATCTAGTACATATTTGGGGAAAGGTATTTTAAGGAAATACTTGACTAATTAGTTTTAAATAACCAATTAAAAAGTGAGTTTTTAAAATGTCAGTTTCCACTTCTGATTCTCTGTTGAGATCAAACACAACCTATCAGTTAAAAGGTGTGTGTTTGTATGCTATGTATCCTTTATACTGATATGTCAGATATTGGGAAGTATCTTGAAAGTTTGATGTAATGTATTTTTTTACTTCCAGCAACGCATGGTTCTCACTCAAAAAGTGAAGCAAATTGCCAAAGAAGTTATCAAAGGCAGAATTTCGAGAATGCTTCTTATATTCCTTCTCTAAAAGCTTCTGGGAGAAGCACTTATTTCTATTCGCCAGAACCTGGAAGATCAACAAATGTGACCAACAGCAATGTCAGCTTCAGTAAAGAATCCAAACTGAATATATCTACAGGTGGGCTCTTAATAATACAAGATTCCTTGTCATCCTGTATACCATTGGGCCCAATTATGCTCCTGTAACTTCCCTGCATCAATACATCTAAGCAAAATTTGACTCATGTCAGATAATCTTAAACAGATTATTGCAAAATCCAGAAATAAAAATGAGAAAATGTCATTAAGTTCTGGGGAAGCTAAAAAGTAAAGGCAGCCACAATTTGCTTGAGTAGCAAGTCCATTATATACAAAAGGTCCAGATAAATTAGTTCCCATGTCTAGTCACTTGTTCTACCTGAGGAGAAGGGAATGGCCCATGGCCCCGTCCCCATCCCTACCATATTAGAAACTACTGTCCACTGGAGCACTAGCAATAACTGCAGTCCCTAGCAACGATTTTGACCAGGTCTTGAACTGGAGTGAAACAGGACAGGAGGAATTTCTTGTAAACCCAAGAACAGATTGATGATAATTTAGCACTGAAAGTTTTCTTAAAACTTGGTGCATTATAGGCTGGGAACAGCTTATTGTCCCACTCTTTTGCACCTTTCTGGTTTGAGTTACTCATATGAGTTTTAAATCTGTCTTTTGAGATCTCTATAATTTGTAGAGAAATCTTGAAGTTTCTTAAAGACAGCATTGAGTATTTTATCATTTTATATCCCTCATGTGGCATGCAAACAGATTTAAAATGAAACTACTCCAAGGTGCACTATATTAGAATTTACTGAGAAAGTTATTGGAATTCTTAGCTATATACATGTTCATAGTATTTCATCCTGCACAGTCAGGCTATGATCTAAGCACTGCTTTTATGCCATCTGATCTTCATTAGTTTCTTAATTAAATCCATTATCTACAAAGCATTCAAAACTGTTCAGTCAATTGGTTCAGGTATTATGTTGTCTCAGTGTGCCTGTTTTCTTCTTTAGTTATTCCAGGTTTTCTTTTTTGTCTTATTTCTTCTTGCCTTTATATATGTGAAAAGGTAATTTAAGAATTCAATAAAGAGAGAAAGAGCACAAAAGGCTATGCCTTCGGTTTAGTGTAATTAAATAAATTCTTTTATAATGTAATTAATTTTTAAAGCATTTTGAGACATTTTATAATCCAGTGTTCCATTTTTTACTTTAGTCTGTGTGCTGCATATTAATTCCAAAGATTATCTAATTGAACAACTCGGTAGTGAAAAGCTTGCTTTCCCCCTAACAGACATTCAGCCTCTTTTTTCCCCTCAACAGGAGACCAAACAAACATCCTTCTTATGATATTACTTTCTATTATACAAACTGGGATTTGGACATTACTGAAGCTTTTTATATCTTTTTAAAATCTATTGTGGCATTTTGTGATGTACAGTTTTAAGGTTGGTTATTTGTCACTTTCTATTTCAGCCAGTCTGAAGACAGAATTAGTATTCTGCCTGCAGTTCTTTTAGAATGGCACCAGTGACATTTTCTTTCTGCACTTGTTCCATCTTTGAAGTAACCCACTGCCTTCCTGGCAATACCTAGTACATGTCAGGAATTTGAGAAGAAACCTTCAGGTCAGATTCTGAGGTCCTGTCTCTTTTATTCTGGCAGCCTGTTTTCCAAGTATAGCTTAAAGTTTGCACTATGGCCTTTTCTTTATTTTTAACTTCTGACCTGTCTTATTAAACTAACAAAACTTTAACTATCACTGGCAATCCAGCAGCTTGGCTTTTCCTGCCCTTTGTGATTTCTGTTTCCAAAGGTATTTCTGGGAATTAGCAGTGGTTTTTTGGACAAGCTTTCATTTCTCACTGCTGTCCCAAATAATGTCATAGCCATACCACTCCATCAGAAAACATGACAGAGCCATCACAAATTCTGGCAATTCCTTTTTTTTTTTTCCTTTTTCTTTTCATAGATTCATAGATTTTAAGGCCAGAAGGGACCTTGGAAGATCATCAGGTCCAGCCCCCCTGCACCAAGCAGGAAAGATAACTGGGGGTCAGCTGACCCCAGCAGGGTGACTGTCTAGTCTCCTTTTGAAGATTTCCAGGATAGGTGATTGTACCACCTCTGGAGGGAGCTTATTCCACAGTCTGGACACCCTGACTGTAAAGAAGTTTTTCCTAATGTTGAACTTGAATTGCTTTTCCAGGAGTTTGTGGCCATATTGTGGCTAGTTTTCCCCTCAGGTGCCCTGGTGAACAGTTGCTCACTAAGCCCTTGATGTACTCCTCTAGTGTAGTGGTAAGCTGCTACCGGGTTCCCTCTCAACCTTCTTTTCTTCAGGCTGAAGAGTCCCAGATCCCTCAGCCTTTCCTCATATGGCTTGCCTTTTAAGACTGATCATACAAGTGACTCTTGTTCGGACTTTCTCAAGCTTGTCCATGTCCTTGTTGAAGTGTGGTGCCCAGAACTGGACGCAGTACTCCAGCTGCGGTCTCACCAGTGCTGAGTAGAGCAGAAGAATCACCTCCTTGGTTTTGCTGGAGATGCATCTATTAATGCATGACAGAGTCTTATTTGCCCTACTGGCTACAGCATTGTACTGCCAGCTTATATTCATACCATGGTCTATTATTATCCCCAGGTCCCTTTCATTCGTGGTGCTAGTCAATTCAGTGCTGCCAAGCCTGTAGGTATGTTGGGAGTTGCTCATCCCAATGTGGAGCACTTTACATTTCTCAACATTGAACTTCATCAGATGCCGATCCACCCAACTTGCTAGCCTGTCTAAGTCTGCCTATATCTGTAGCCTATCTTCAAGCATGACCACGCTTTCCCATAACTTGGCATCATCTGCGAACTTGGTCAGTGAGCTCTTTCACATCCAAATCATTAATAAAGATGTTGAAAAGTACTGGACCAAGCACCGACCCATGTGGGACACTCCTGCCCACTTCTTGCCAAGATGACACAGATTCATTTGCTATGACTCTCTAGGTCCTATCCTGCAGCCAGTTTCTCACCCACTTGACTGTCTCGGAATTAAGCCCACAATCCTCCAATTTTCTCACAAGGACATTGTATACCTAAACTTCCAAAAGGCCTTTGATCTAGTATCCCACAATGTCAACCTGTTCTCTCGTGTCCAGGTGGTGAGTTACCTGGTCATAAAAGGAGATGAGATTGGTAAGGCAAGACCTGCCCGTGACAAAACCATGCTGACTGTCATGCAGAATCTCACCTTCTGCAAGCTTATCATAGATAGACTCCTTGATGAACTTTTCTAGGATTTTCCGTAGGATGGAAGTTAGGCTGATTGGCCTATAGTTACCTGGGTCCTCCTTCCTGCCCTTCTTGTGGATGGGCACAACACTGGCCCTCTTCCAGTCCTCAGGGACTTCTCCAGAGTGCCACAAGTTGTGGAAGAGTTTTGCCAGGGGTTCCACAATGGCTTTGGCCAGCTCCTTCAGCAGTCTCAGATGAACATCATCCAATCCCACTCACTTGTGTATATATATAATTTTTTTAATTGGTCATAAACCAATTATATGGCAATATTAGGAGGGTGATTATTCCTACTGTGCTCATCCTGTACTGTACCTGGCATTGTTTTCCCCTGGGTCTGGTAAAAGACCAAAGCAAAGTAGTCAGTCAGGAGTTCAACTTTCTCCTGGGTGCCAGTAACCAGCTCTCCTGAGTTGCTGAACAATGGCCCCACACTCCTATTTTTTTTTCTCCTGTTCCCTATGTACCTAAAGAAGGACTTCTTGTTGTTCTTAATTCCCATTGCTAATCTAAGTTTGGTCGCCACTTTAGCCTTTCTTATCTGTTCCCTGCAAATGCGGGCTGTCATGGAATACTCCTCCTTGGGGCCTGCCCCGAGATTCCATTGTTTATAAACCTCTTTCTTAAGAGGAAGCCAAGAGGGCTTCCCAGCCCTTCTGTTACCTTTTCTCCTCATGGGAATGGACTTCCTTTATTCTTCAAGGATCATGCCCTTAAGGATCATGCCCTTAAGGTATACTCTTTGTGTATACCTTCTGCCTTCGGTCCCTGGTCCGCAGCACTTCCCTTACTAATGACCTAAGCTTTTTGAAATTTGCATTTTTGAAGTCCAAGACTTCAATCCTGCTATCAGATTCGCGTGCCTTAAGTTGGGCAGTGAACATGATGGTTTTATGGTCGCTGTCACCCAGACTTCCCTCTATATTTAATTTGGTAACCAGGTTGCCTTCTTTGACCAGGACCAAGTCTAGCAGAGTGTCACCTCTGGTTGGCCCATGCACCTCTTGAGCCAGGAAGAGCTTTTCAAGAGACTGTTACTTTTTCTCATACTCAAGATGATACCCTTATATGTAAAATTCCAGGATAGAATGTTCTTAGACTATTACAAATGTTGAGAACATCCTCCTCTTTAACTTGTACATATCACACACACAAAAGCTACATTAAACGAGCATTATTAAGGTTTCATCAAGCATTTGTAAGTTACACAGCATTTGAAAATTATTTTTTTAATGTTTGTGCTTACTAAAATGTCAAATACAGCTGATAGGCTACTATTTTCTTGGAGTAATTGCATCATCACAGTTAAGGTCAAGTTATTTATTGTACACACAAAGATGAATCCAACACAGGTTGTTTTTCTATGAAAAACATTGCATTTTCCTCAAATTTTAATAACTTTATGTCTGAATAAATCCCATGTATTTTAATCACTTTCAGATCAGTAATTTCTCAGTTTCTATCAATTCAAAATCAGACTAAAAATTCACTGAGTGTAATGAATTTTAGGGATCATTAATGTGGAGGGGTAGAATATGTTAATGCAGTACAGAGTATAGGAATCCTTTTGGTATTATGGAATCATCAAAGCATTTTGTTAATCAAAAGAAAAGATATTAATAGCAATATTTGTTACAATTGCATCTGTATGCTAGATGGTTAGCCAGTGTGATAGATACTCTGTTATGAGGAAGTATATGTAATGGTGTTATACACTCAGAGCCCTCCTCTCTCTGACATGGTTGGAATAACAGAGACTTGTTGGGATAGCTCGCATGACTGGAGCACTGTCATGGATGGATATAACCTGTTCAGGAAAGACAGGCAGGAGAGAATAGGAGGAAGAATTGTGCTTTATGTAAAAGAACCATATGATTTCTCAGAGTTCCAGTATGAAATTGGAAATAGGCCTGTTGAAAGTCTCTGGGTTAGGTTCACAGGGGACACCAACAAGGGTGATGTCATGGTGGGTTTCTACTACAGATAGGGTGTACAGGATGAGGCTTTTTCAAACAGCTAGCAGAAGTTTCCCAATCACAGGTCCTGGTTCTCATGGGGGACTTCAATCACCCTGACATTTGCTGGGAAGGCAATACAGCAGTGTGCAGGCAAGCCAGGAGGTTTTTGGAGAGTGTAGGGGACAAATTCCTGGTGCAAGTGCTAGAGAGGCCAACAAGGAACCATGCTCTTCTTGACCTGCTGCTCACAAACAGGGAAGAATAGGTGGGGAATGTAGTAGTGGATGGCAACTTGAGCAGCAGTAACCAATAGATGCTTAAATTCAGTATCCTGAGGAAAGGAAGGAAAGAAGGAGAACAACAGAGTACAGACCCTGGACTTCAGAAAAGCAGACTTCAGCTCAATGAGGGAACTGATGAGCAGGATCCCCTGGGAGGCCAGTCTGAGGGGGAGAGGAGTCCAGGAGAGTTGGTTGTACTTTAAAGAAACCTTACTGATGGTGCAGGAATAAACCATCGCAATGTGCAGGAAGACTAGCAAATATGGCAGAAGACTAGCTTAGCTTAGTAGAGAACTCTTCAGTAAGCTAAAATATAAAAAGGAAGCATATAAGTGGAAACTTGGACAAACAGATAAGAAGGAGTATAAGGGTATTGCTCGGTGTGGCAGGGCACTGTTGGTGCCTCCCACTTTAAGGGCCTGGAGCTGGCAGCTGCCAGGTGCCTAATGAAGGCAGCCATTTTAGATTCAGAGCTGCCCATATAAACAGGGCAGTTCAGCTGCTGGAGGCCAGGCAACAACGTCGCCTGGCTGGAGGACTGTTGATATCATCTGGAGGTAAGGGAGGAGCTATAGGGGAAGGATAAGAGACTCCTGGTCCTGGGCATGACCTAAAACTGCACCCTGCTGGGAGTGGGTGGCCTGGTGGGGCTCTCAGTGGCGTGGGAGCCCCCAGGAAAAGCCACGCCAGTTACCACCCTGGTGAAAGGCGGGTCAGGGTGCCTTAACCCCTAGCCCCCACAACCAGGTGGGTTACCCCTTTGTTTGGAGGGCCCAAAGAGTAGACCCTCAGAGAATGAGAAAAAGGCCATAGACTCAGGCCTATGTGAGTTTCCCCTGACTGGCCCGTGCTGGGGCCAAGACTGGAAGGGTCGAAGGGCCAGGGGTCCACCACGAGGGACGCCCAAGAGCTGAGGGCCTGGGGTCCCGACTTGCCTGGAGATGGGCCAGGGCTAGAGGAGCCGAAGGTCTCAGTGGGGGGACCACACCCAAAGAGAGCTATGTGGCCCAGTGTGATGGTAGAAAAAGCCACCTGATGAGAGGATTCTAGATTGGGGTTCAATCAGGAGGATTCTGGGGCCCGGTATGGGGGCCGGTGATGATGAGAACATCTAGATGCCATCTGCGAGGCTTGGGCTGCAGTGTAGGGGAGGAATGGAGCTGCAGATAGCACCCCCTGGCATTGGGGCAGGAAATGGGCAGCCTCCCTCTTCTTAACATCTAATTGACTAATTAACATCAAGGTGTGGCGGGCGAGAACATGGGCGGTTGCCCCAAGAACAGGTGCGCGGGCCACAGAGATCAGCCCCGAGCAGGCCCCCTGTTACACTCGGGTATGCAGGAATGAAATCAAGAAAGCCAAACCACAATTGGAGTTGCAGCTAGAAAGGGACTTTAAAGGTAACAAGAAGAGTTTTTACAAGTATGTCAACAACAAAAGGATGATTGGGGACAGTATGGATCCTTTACTAAATGGGGGAGGCAACCCCCAGAAGACTGTGATGGGATTTAATAGCAGCCTTCAAATACCTGAAGGGTGGTTCCAAAGAGGATGGGGCTAGATTGTTTTCAGTGGTGGCACATGACAGAACAAGGAGCAATGGTCTCAAGTTGCCGCAAGGGAAGTTTAGGTTGGATATCAGGAAAAACTTGCTTAGAACACTGGAGCAGGTTACCCAGAGAGGTTGTGGACTATCTATCCTTGGAGGTTTTTAAGATGTAGCCTTGGGTGGGATCATCTTGTTGCTCTGTGGGGTCAGGCCAACTCTCAGGATCTCAATATTGCATTGTTAGACAGGAGGGTGAGACACAATTGCACATATGAAAACGCACAAACCAATTAGGTGCGTACACACACACACACACACACACACACACACTACCAGCTCAGGCACATACACATCCAAACCAGCCTAGACACATGCATACCTATCACCAATTCAAGCACATACCCTATACACCCCAAAAGTTAGACGAAAATCAATTGTCCATACGCACACACTCAGTACACATACCCAGATCACTAATTCATATATCATACACACAGTGACATATATATACACACACTCACCAGTTTACACACATACAACCCACCTACACATAGGTAAGTTCCTAACTTGGATGGCACGGTATATATGTGTGTGCTTGGCGTACCTGGGGGAAGATTAAGGTGAGAGAGAGTTAAAGTGTGGGGAGTGAAAGTTGCCAGACTTTAGATTAGAACCAATGGACTAGAGAGAAGCTGGCTGAGGAACTGAGGCTTGGGGTTACTTAAGGTAGATTGGGGCTGGAAACGGAGGGAGACAGCTGAGATATTGGGGGGCGGGGAAGATAAGTGATGGCAAGGAGGAGACAGCCAGGAAAGGGAGAGAGAGAGAGAGAGAGAGGCAGAAACCTGGGAGCTTGGGACTGGAAACAGGATGACAGCTTAGAGACTGGGGGGGTAGATAAGTGGTGGCAAGGAGGAAAGTTAGGAAACAGACAAAAACCCAACTCAGGGTTTCAAAATAGCAGGTTTATTAAACAGACAACACACTACACAGCCCCATGAAGTTATTGGTACACACACATGCACATGCATTCATAATGGCAGCAGGAGGAAGAAGCACTGGAAGGGTTGGAGTCCAGGTGGGGGAGAGAAGCAGAGTCCAAGTCCTTGGCTGAAGAGGGGGTGGGGGTGATAGCTACCTATCCAGGCTGGAAAGGGGTCTTTGTCCAGTAGGAGTTGTCCAGAGGGGGGTCGCCAGCAGGGCCTCTGGGTGGATAGGTGGTGTGGCATGGTGCTTGTCCAGATGGACAGGGTGTCCCCCTGGGTCTGTCTTCACTGTCCCTTTTTAGAGGGGCAGACCTTGTGTGACCCTAGTGATGGGAGGCATGCCCAGGCAAGGGTCAGCTCCTGGCATACTGAGTATGTGTGCTCCATGCAGGGATGTGCAGTTTTGGGTGTCTGTATTGTTTCTTGAATGCTGATGAGTGGTTCCAAGGGCTGGGTCATTGGTCCAGGTATCGATGGGTCGGTCATTCAGAGGGAGCTATTTTTAGACCTACTGCCATTGTCTCTCAAGCACCCTCATTCATCCCCATTCATTCAGGAATCAAGTTACATAGGAGGGATATGTGTGAGTCATGGGGTACACAACCGGGCCTGGGGACAGGATGGAGACATGACAAACAAAATGGAAACAAAATGGAAACTTGACATGACTTATGCTAACTTACATAAGGCCTAAATCATATAGTACCAGTAAAACAGTAATATAGAACAGTAAAAATCAATATAAACATAAAGATATACAATATAAACATATACAATATAAAGAAGGAGAAAAAACATCATACAATCTAGTTGGGGATGGTTCTGCTTTGAGCAGGGGTTGGACTAGGTGACCTCCTGAGGTCCCTTCCAATCCTGATTTTCTATGATTCCCCACCTTTTTGTATTTGGCAGCATCCTTGGTTAAGAACCACTGTTGGGCTGCTTCACCTTCTCTCAGTGGTTCTCAACAGAGTGAAACCGTCACCACCAGATAAAATTGCCCCATGCACCTAGTGCACAGACAGACTCAGAAGGGCTGTAACATGTGCATACTTTCCTGCTTTATTAGAATTCTTTGATAAGCCTAAAGCTGGCAGGAGAGCCACCTCATTGTGCAGCCCTTCCTGGCCTGAATCTTCATGGATTGTCACAGAAACAAAGGCACGCAGAGCTGATGTCACTGCACCACATGCCTCTGTTTTGGGGTAGAGTATGTGGGGAGCAGATCAGAAAAAGCTGCCACACAAATTGACCCCCTGCCTGCTTTAGGATTGTCAGAGAACCCTAATGAAGCAGGAGACCATGTATGTGCCATAGCCTTCCTGGTCTGGCTGTGCACTAAGTAGAGCACTTTTACTTAGCCACAGTGGTAGCACTTGTGCCATGGCACCTCTGAGCGGGTCTCACAGCATCCTGGTACAGAACCTCTGGTATAGGACAACAGCACAAGACTGCCTTTTGTTATATTCCCTCAGTACCATTCCATGCATCCAAAACTTAAGGTTAAAGAGATACGTAAGGAATAGACTTTGCTAGTCCAGGGGCATTTATGCTACATTTGAGGTCTTCTACAAAGGAAATGTTGTGCTGCCTAATTCCATGATCTCAGTGGAAAAGTTCTTCTGGTTTGGGAGCTTCTATGAGTCTCCTGAAAACATGATATAGGAATACAATTAATTTCTTAACAATTTGGTGACTAAGTCCTGATTTAATGTTATTTTTTATTTCAAGATGGCATGTAATTTGTGTGATGTGTCAGTTGATACTTTAGCTAATAATATTGTTTAGCTTGTGTAGCAGGATAAGAATCTGTGTACTATAATTGCAAGCAAAAGTATAAAAATATATATATTTTCCAACAGACAAATGCACTTCAGCATCTTACAATGCACCAATTTGGAGAAAAAGAAGCCCACATACAAAAAGCATACTCTAAGTCTGAAAAAATCCATTCAGGTACCTGCTTTAAAGCATTACTTCCAGTGAATGTTAAAAATGACATCTCTGTTTTAATTATGTCTCCAGCTAGAATCAGGAAAACACTTTTAAAAGATATCCAGCCCAAAATTACTGTTTTTAAGTGATGCTAAGAAGTCTGAGTTGTTAGCTCTTTCTTGTTGAGACTGTGTGCTTTTACACATTAGCTCAAGAACTACTTCTTACAGGTCACTATTATGTGTGCTTCTAATATGTCAGACAGATGCATGACTTCCTCTACAGACAAGAACTAAGCACTTTTTACTGAATAGAATGGCCAATGGCTTGTAGTGGTGGACAAAGTAGTATGGTTTTGTAAACTAGATTACTAAAAGTTGGGCTTTTGTCCCTTTCTAGTGGTTTCTCCATGTATAATATTTAATGTGCAATAGCTGGAAGTTAGGGGACTTATGTCCAGAGCCACAAAAGGACTTAGGCATCTAGAATGCCTGTACATGAGCAGGGAGTGGTTGCTCCAATGCACTGTAATTCCAGTGCATTGGAGTAGACCCAATTCATCAATTCTGCTGGAGCATGACAATTGCCATGCTCCAGCAGCCTCCCGCATCTCATGTATCAGCATTCCCACACTTCAAAATGGTGGCAGGGGTGCTTTCAATCTGGCCAGTGCAGCTATTGGATCCGGCTTACAGAGCTAGAGTTTGGCAGTGTTCAGTGGCAGGAGGATTTGCTTGCACTGCACCATGAGTAGCTGGGTGGCTGCAAGCTTCCCTGTGCCACACCAGGCTACTCTCTTCAGCATTTAGTGTTGGCTAATACAGCTCCACACTTAGCTTGCTGGCTGTTGCAAATCCTATTCTGTGGTGTATTCACTTTCATGACACTTTTCTCTTTATTGCAATAAAGTATAATTTCTATTATAAGTTCTACACATCTAATTCAGCGGTGGATTTCACTTTGGGAGCCAGGTAGGTGCCTAGAAGTTAGGTATGGTAAACCTTAGTGGCATCTTTCACTCAGCATCGATCTGAGACAAGGAGACCTATCAATCACGTAACTTGTACTGCTTGTGGTGGTGTCTCTGTGATCCTCTCCTGGTTCCAGGTATGAGAATTGCTAGGTGGTTCAGGGTAGGTTCTTTCTCTACTGTATCAAAAAGTCTTACCTGGTCCTCAAAATTGTTACTTTAACCAAAATCCTCTAGTTGACAAGTGCCTACTAATGGGCTGAAATTTATTGCCTGACCTGCTAGAATTGCTGCTAAATTAGTAAGTTTTTGAGTGCAGGATCAGGCTCCATGGTTGACTGACTGAGGTTATTAAACAACCTTTAACAGATTTTTCCATTTACCTATATTTACTTAAATTTTTGCAAGTCACCTATATAGATCGTATACATAATGTACATCTTTAATACATATGGACACTGTGGCGGAGCAGCATTGGGGTGCTTGCCACTTAGTGGGCTGTTGCAGGTGACAGATGAGCCTACATGGTGAGCAGCAGGGAGACACTCTTCCCCCCCCCCGGTAGCCGTTTAAAGGGGGGAAGGTGTGTGACAGCACCTTTGGTGTCCGCCACTTTGAGGCTGAGAGCTGGCAGGTGCAGGCAAGCCCTGTTGAGGCGACCATTTTAGATCCAGGCCCACATGGCCGAAGCAAAAGTCTGCTGCAAGCAGCCGAAAGACAACACCCAGCTAAGCTGCTGCTCACAACACCTTGGGGGTAAGGGCAGGAGCCATGGGTATTGCAGGAGGCTCCTGGTCCTGGGTATGACTGAAAAGTGCACCCTGCTGGGGAAGGATATTTTGGTGGAGCTGCCCGTGGCAGGGTAGCTCCCCAGAAATGCCAGGCCAGTTGCCCCCCCAGTGAAAGGCGGGAAGGGCACCTTATAACCCCAGCCCCCACAACCTGGTGGGTAACCCAGGGGCATAAGGCCTGTGTTTGGTGGACCCATGTGAGAGAGAGTGGGCTAGCAGTGCGAGAGCCTAGACAAAACCTTCGCCTGGTCAATGCTGGAGCCAGAACCAGGATGGCAAGAGGGCTAGAAAGCCCACCGTGAGGGATGCACAAAGCCAGGGGGCCTGGGGTTTTGACTGGCCTGGAGGTGGGCCAGGGCCTGTGTGGCCAAGGGTCCCAGAGGGGGGCCACACCCAAGAGTGAAAGAGGCCTGGGGAGCTGACAGCCCAGGTTGAGGGCAGAGTAGACCACCTGATTAGGAGGGATCTAGCTGCGGTCCAGACTCAAATGTTATGGGGCCCAGTGTGAGACCGAAGCTATTAAGAACCTATGATGCCATCTGCATGGCATGGGCCATAGTGTAGGGATGGTATAGAGCTGTGGACAGCGTCCCCTGGCATTGGGGCATAAAATGGGCAGCCTCACACACTTTTACACCAGTTTTAGGAACAGCAAATCATGGCAGGCAAGACTGGGTGGACTGCCCATACAGAGACAGGTGGGCGGGCTATGTTGAGATCCAGCCCCAAGTTGGCCCCGTCACAGACGCACAGTCACAAAAGGTTAAATTCAGTAAAGGACTGGGGTGCATAAATTCGGCCCAAAATTGCAATTCAGATATCTCTTGTTCTGTTGTTGCCTACCCCTGGAGGCATCTCAGCTTACTAGATACCTCTGATTTTTAAAGTTTACCAGGCATCTAGAATTCTGCTTCCACATATACCCAGTATTCTCCTGGCCTAAGCAGCTCAGCCCTGTCTCCTGCCTAATCCTAGTGGAGATCCTGAAAACATGTGTTGCTCAGCCTAAGTCTTTTGGTAGGTTGGTTGTTTGAGCCTGTCATAGTTAGGAGGAAATTAAGTCCAGGTCTTCCACATCCAGGTGAGAATTCTCAGCCCTAAGCTATTATATAAAAGGTAGGTGACACCACCACCACCACTTAGTGCATCCTTTGAAAGAATATTTATAGGCACCCACCATCAAGAGAAGGTTTCAGGTTGTGGAACCTAAGTAAATGGAGATTTCTACCTACTGCCTTGAGTCAGATGCCTAATTATGAAGAAGTGGGATTTCAGATTCAGAGTTTTTGGCTAGCTCTGAGGAGCTTCCTACTCAGCATGTGTGCTTTTTCTGGAACCCATTCTGAGGCATCCAGTTCTCCCTATGTCTAGAAACCAGCAATGAATGCCACTCTGTGGTCAGGTGCCTAAGTCTTTTACTGAATTTAGCTCACAGTACTTAAAGCTGCATTTTAGGAAGTTGTTGAGTAAAAGATAGTATTTATAGGCATTTTGAGAATGTGCAGAGATTATTAAGACTTGGCCATTTCTCTTTATTTAAATAAAGTATAAATACTGTTATAAATTCTAAGCATTTACACTCTGAATAAGTCTTCAGAAGAACAGATTCATAATAATAGAATATACAAAATTTTGCTCTGTTATGTATTTTGACTACAGAGCCAAGAAGAAGTGGAAGCAAATAAAAAGCCAAGATTGATTTGGAGAAATGAACGAAAGAAAACCACGATACCTCATACAATTTAGAGGAAAAAATATAAAAATGCAAAATCAAAGAATAAGATTACAAAGTATTTTACACTGACAATCTGAAGATGATAAAATGCAAATTGTAAAAATAAGATGCAAGAAGTACACTGTAGTGTCTCAAACCTGATAAAAATGCAAATTAAAAAAGTCTATGCTGCATGTGTGGTTATGAAGATCTGCGGCATATTCAGCATGTTGCTGAAGTTTAATCTAGTTGGAAATTTTGACAATTCAAGTCATTATTTAACTTTGACCCTGGCTGTACAGTACAGATTGAAGCAAAACCTTATTTTTGATCTATATAAAGAAAAAAACCTTGAATCTAATAATAGATACGGCTAGCTGGACTTGCTAGCAAATCTGAGTGGCACTTCAGAAGGATTTCAGTATACATACCAGCTTTGACACACTCTACACAGGGATAGCTTTGACATGGTTTTGGATGGTAATCATTTAACTCTTACCCTGATATTTGGTGACTGACTCTTCACTTATTTTTGAATATTTGCTATTGATTGCAAGGAAAGGAGAATTGTATTGTGAATAAGATGACCAGACTGATAGTTAACTGTGGTAAATTATTCCAAACATTTTAAAGCTACAATTTAAGAGATTATTCAAGAAGATGGAGAACAAAGCTGAGAAGATGATTTGAATTCTCAGTGCATTTACAATTAGCAGTGAACATCTGCTAGAGTTTGACTAGGGAACCTCTTTTTCTTATCTTTTCCTCATTTTCACTCATGGTTTTGGTTTAGTGAAGCAGAAAGAAGCAACCTGTTATCTGGGAGAACTGATGTTTGATTCAATCTGATTCTAGGAGTGTTTTATCAGCCTATTTCATGAGGAAAGGAGAGAACATTGTGCAGCAGCATGGTGAATGCCCCTTCACTTCATGCTGAGACAAGAATTTGAGGCTGGACAAGGAAGTTATAAAGCATTTAGCAGGAGCAAGTGGAGTGGAATTGGGCAAAAATAGAGATCACAAGCTAAATTAAAGAGCACACAGGAAAAGTCCAATTATCAAAGGAACAGAACGATTAAAAGTAAATGCCCTCAAACGTTTAAAAAGGAGAATGGAATAGTATTGCGTGGAAAGCAACCTACAGCAGGTCACAATTTTTCATGGAAAAGACCAACAAAGAAGAGCAATAATAAATTTACAAAGTAATGATTACAGTCAAGATTATTATGCATAACCTATTACAAATAGGCTTGCAAGACTGCAGAAAATACAGCAGAAAGACACTTTCAGAGATGCTGCATCATTAGAATTACAGAGGTATTAGACCTATGCAAGTGGATTCCCATTCAACCTTCCAAGGGACATTGTTTAAAGTTTCACATCCAGATGTGTGACTGACTGATCTGCCACACTTTATACTCCTATATAAATATGAATATGAAGTTATCAGAATTAGAGCACAGTTTTGAAACTAACAAGTTATCTAAACAACTGTAGTTTATCGTGTGGTTTTTTTAATAGGAGCAGCTGCGCAAGCCCAGAAACAATTAAATGCTTTCCTTTTAACTATTTTCTAGCAAACTTTTGATCTTGCATTACTGGAAGTTTTTCATTACAAACCGAAATGAACACACAAGCTCAACCAGACACAACATGTTTCAGTTTCAGTTTTAATAAATGGATTCAAGCTTGTGAATTTTCCCTGGTTTTTCCAAGACTGAGACGAACTTTATTCTTCTTTCATTTTTCATGGTGTTTAAGGTAACAATATCTCACAAGAGCAGTTGCTCTTACAAGTTTACTATCATCACAGATGGCCGGTGTCTTGAGATAATGTGGTCCTATCTAACCTCACCTTTCACCCTTATTTAGTTTCCAAGTTTATTTCTATGTCTTAATCCAGATCTGAGTACTCTTTCACAGACTTTAATTATTATGTATAAAAGCTAGGAGATAAGAGGACGCTAATACTTTACTCAGTGTATATGCAGATGAACAAGTTACCTCTGTACATGTTTTAAAATACATTTATTTCAATTAATAAACTTTCCAGTCGGTACCCCAAGCTTTACCTTTTCCTAAAAGCAAAGCTGTTTTGAAGGATAGTTCTTCTGGAACTTCCTTCTGGAGCCGTGGGATCCAGTGATTCCACCAGTGCCTTTTGCTGTGTCCTCTCTAAAGTTTTAAAAATATGTCGAAGCTTATCCCCCAAAGCATTTAGTAGGACTTAGAAATCTTCAGTCACTGCCTCCTACTGCATCCAATAGATTTTGCAGAAAGCTTTGATCCCAAATTCATGCTGTAACAACTAAAGCCATTTAACTGAGGAAGATTGCCTTATGCCTGAAAGCTTGCCTAAGATCTCTCTCAACCATACAGTTGGTCCAATAAAATATAACACCCAAAAGGGTCTTCTTTCACATATTCTCTAGACCAGTGGTATCCAACCTTTTTGACAGATATACCACAAATTAGCCTTCTGCCCTCCCTGAATGACTTGTTCAGTCTGCTGCTGTGCTTCCTGCTCTGTGCTCCCTTCCTGATCTGCTGCTTTATTTTTTGCTTCCTGCCCTGTATTTTCTGCTTCCTTCTCTCTGCCTGATCTGATGCTCTCCTTTCTGCCCCATATAGGTGTGTCCAGATGATCATGGATGTTCAGTATGCAGTGCCACAGACCCATCTGTGGCACCACATGTCGCACATGCAGACATTCCCTGCACTGATACTTTGCAGCACAGTAGGGTGGGGGTTGACCCCAGAAGATCCCAGGGTAAAAAAAAACCATGGCTAAAAAAAGCAGGGTGCAGCACACACCACCCAAAACTGGAGCCTGGCCAGCTGGAGCCAGGCTCCAGCTGGCCAGGCTCCCAGCTGCAGGAGTGCCATGGCTGCAGCTCCCTGATGCCCCCAGGACACCAGGTAAGGCTGCTGGGATCAGAGCAGTTGCTGGTCCCAGCCTTCCCTACCCCACCCAGGCTAAAGTGCCATGCACCAAAGAGTGCATGGCACGGGTGTTCTGCGGGGACAAGTAGCAGTGGCACAAAGTGTGCCGCTGCTACTTGTCCCTAGGGAAACACACGTTGCCATTCATGGGAACATGTCCTGTGTCATTGTATTCCTTGCTCCTTCTCCAATCAGTTGTGTACCACACACACAGGCTGCCCATTCCACTTGTGCCACATGTGCCACAGATTGGCCAGCCCAGTACTAAACCATCATGGGTACAGCATCCCTCCAACACTACCACAAAGCCATGTAGGCAGTTATGTATACATCAGAATATTTTCTCTAACCAGAGAAAGAATAGAAAATCTAGAACACGTTTTAACCCTAAGATGGGAAACCATGCAGAACAGAAAGCAGTACACTTTAACATTCATGTATTGTAGTAGAGCAAAGCTGCTGAAACCATTTTTTCTTTTAATTAGACATTGTCGCTTTGAATTTCTATGACACGCTGTCCTGAAGCAACATCGTACATCTTGCCTGCCTGAAGCAATTTAAAATTTTAATTCAGAAGAATGTTGTGCTTAGTTTTTTTTTAACTTCTTGAAAATACTATTAATTTGGGCTTTCATGCAAAGTAAATTTAGACATGTATATTCACTAGTCTCTCCATCCTCATAATTCAGGGTACAGAATATCTTATGGAGGCAACCTTAACAATGTTAATTTTTTTCTTTTTTGCATTAATTTAAAGACAGTGTAAGAAACATTTAATTCTTTTTCCTTCTCTCTATATTTTCCATGTGGATTGTTTAGTACTTGTGACAATCCTGGCTTTGAAGGCCTTGAAAAATTAACTTAATTTTTTTATTCACAAAGCAAGTTCATAATGGCCACAGACAGGTGTATAGTTTAAGTGCTTCAAATTTGGAGTGCTCTAAGTACTTCTGTGGCTCTGCAGGTCCCACACATATTGGAGCACTTCAAATTCGCCATGCCAGCATATGGCAGCAGTCCTCCCCAGCCAGGGGGTATGAATAGTGATTGCTTGGGTCTGTGGCTTCTCTCTCCCTGCCCATGTGGGAGGTGGGGCAGACAGCCAATGAGCACTCTCACGTGTCCTTCAGTGCCTCTGGAGCTTGAGAGACGTGTGAGAAATCCTGCTATCCAGCCCCATGGGTGGAGAGCAGGAATCCCTGCGTGTGTCTGGCCTTCCAAAACTAGGAGACGGGAACTTCTGGAGACTGAGTCACATAGGTATTTCTGCTTTCCAGCCAAGGGGCTGGAGAGACATCCTTTGCATGCTTCTCAGGTGCAAGATATTGCAGACGATAGCCAAGCACACAGGAAAGTGCTCGCTGGCTGCCTGCCCAGCTCTCCTCCAGCTATCAATATACCAGAGAACTGACCATTTTGTAGACCAGTGGCTTTCTAACTTTTTATGCTGCCATACCCCTTACCTGAAAAATATTGCTGCTTATACCCCTTATACCCCATGCATCTCTGCATGTTCATTCCTTAGGTAAAGTGTCCACACAGGTCAACATGTGGCAATGCCATTTATCACTGCACTTTGACCAATTAGAAGCTTCACTGCCATTATTCAAATGTAACCATTTACCCCTTGGCAAAGTGCTGCGTACGCCCTGGGGATACAGAATCACAGAAAGTTGGGGTTGGAAGGGATCTCAGGAGGTTATCTAGTCCAATCCCTGCTCAAAGCAGGACCAGCCCCAACTAGATCATCCCAGCCAAAGCTTTGTCTAGCTAGGTTTTGAAAACCCCCCAAGAATGGAGCTTCCACCACCTCTCTGTGTGTACACCAGTTTGAAAATTACTACTGTAGGAAGCACTTCAAAGATGGTTTTCATTTTTGGAGAATCATTTTAGGTGCTTTAGCCCTTTTAAGTGATTCTTTGGCCATACTTATCTGTATGTTTGCTGTCTAGAGTGCTTCAAAGGTATTTGGAGAGCTTCAAATGTTACCTCTCTATCAATAATAGGAACAGTGTGGCCCATGCAGTTGAGGAGAGTGGAGTTCAGGCACCTCCCTTTCTGCTGGGACTGTCAAAATGGGAAGGGGAGTGGGGGTGCAGAAAAATAACAACAGTAGTGCTTTCTGTCATGTTGATAGCCTGTTCAAGGACAAAGCTACACCATCAAATGTATTTCAAGCAGCTGACTAAACAGCCACAAGATAGTAACTGTTGCCCTAACGATTCCTTTTTACCAGAGACCCCC